TTTTTATCATTAAAACTGAATTGGCAGGCACACAAATAAATCTTCATTGAGATCTGCTCTGTATTTAGTAATATATACATGTTTAAGTATCTACACATGATTAGTATAAATGTACTGAAGAATATAACACCAAGTTGTCCATCTTTTAAACCTGCATTCAATTTGATTTTACTCATAATTGCTTAGTGCATTCTTATTGCAAAATACAGGACACATATTTTTCTCTACAACATTGTAAAATTCTGTCCAAAATTCATCTGTATATTGTAGCAGGCTAGCAACTAGATAAATCACATTTAAATGCTCACGGGAAACATATATATGCGTCTGCATGTATGCTTCACATTTTCTTTCTTAAGAATTCACCTCTTGAATGGATACACCAAAAAATGGGGTGGGAATGGGGTTAGAACTGTTTTTAAATGTGAGGTGCCATGTCTGAATAAGCAGATTGTCATGGAAAAAGCATACTTTGTCTCCCACATCTTACAAGAGAATTCTAGCATTAGCAAATTAGATTATACCATAAGCAATATTAGCACTGCAAGAAATGAGTAAAAGCAGAATCATTTTACCGTGCAAACCATGCAAAGAGAAAGAAAGAGAGGCAAAAGCTCCAGAAAGTCAGAGGCATTTGTTAAAAGAGAGTCTCTAAGCATACTAACCTGCTGGTTCTAATGAATTTTCTACTTTGTCGTTAACATCGAAAACACGATCATGAACACCTATAGTTTTCATACAGTTGTCTATAACAAAAATAGAGATAACAGCCAAATATGTTAGTGAGACACCCTTAAAATCCCCATTTTCCCTTTTTTTTTTTTTTTTGCTGCTGTCTTTATGTCTGATTTCTATTTCTATTATAGGCATATAGTTATATCTTAACTGTGGCCTACTTCCAAATACCACAGTATTTGTCTTTTTGTACCACAATTTAAGAAACAACAAGTTAGCAACTGATGCATATGAAAAACAAATAAGAAAAATGCTTTGTGAAAAACGATTAAAAGATACGGCCAAAAAAAAAAAAAATGATGCTAAAAAGAAGACATACCACATAGGATTTTTAAAGTAAAAAGAAGTTTTTACTGCTGTTTACTAAACCAAAGCATGCGCTATAAAGCCACCCTCTGAAGCAAGGTGTAAAGCACTTACTTGCAGGCCGTACATAGACTTTCAGCTTTAAACAGGATCTCCTTCCATTATCAGGGATTGCAGATGCTGAAGAAGAAAAAGGGAGATTAGAGATCATTGTTATTTTTCATCTTAAAGGGACAACATCCAACATTCTTCTTTTCCTTAGGTAACAAATCCCAAAACAATTGTACATATTATCGGGAACATTCAAAATAGCAAATAAAATTTCTACACTATCCATTGTTCTGTATTTTTATATATTATTATTTTATTTTATTCATTTTATTTTGCTTTCCCCCTCAAAAAGTGGGGTGAGAACAGCACTGATTTTCCAAATTCTCTACCTCTTAACATCAATGGGCATAGATACCAAATTACAGGATAAAGCTGATAGTCTTTCTTTGGGAGCCCAAAAGTCACCAAGTGTTCACTAACTGAAAGACGATGGAGCTATGGTCTCCATATGTTGCTGAATTGTAACTCTAATCATCCTTTACTTTTGGCTATGCTGGCTGATAGTCTTGGGAATTTTTTATTGGATTTATACCTGCTCCAGTTAAAACACTGTCTGCAAAACCTGGAAAGAAATAGGTTCCTCACACCTACTTTACAGGGCTCCACATGGCACAATATGCCTCATCAAGAAACTCACATCATGAATGGGTCTAGTGAAAATGGCAACTCGAGTACAATAGCGGATTTGTAGAATAGTCTCTACATAGCTTGCATCAAATTACATTCATGATGCATATATGTATTTAATATGTTGGCATTTTGTTACAGAAACTATAACTCAGGGTGTCATTGGAAGCTACTGTTCCAACATTAAAAAGAAATTAGTCTAATAGGAGTTTAGGTGATTTTCATGCATGTTAGAAAGGAATATTTTTTTTTACAAATGCTTCAAATTATCTACAGCTGTGAAAAACATTTGAAAGACTTTTGAAAATTGGGTTAGGATGAACAAAGCACACCTGCTCAAAGCAACTTCCTTTGGAAGGCTTGTATGGCTGCTTCAAAGATTGTCCTTGATTTTTTTTGCACACATAACAACTTTGCTTCATTACTGGGTTAAGCAAAACAATTATCTGAGCATGTACATGTTCATAAAAATCACTAGGTTTAGAGTAGCCATATGAGTCTTCCAAAGGACATGGCTGTTTTAATGCTTCAAGTAGGAGTGTTTCTCTTGCACCCTAATGCTTACAGCCCTAATCTTGTCCAATATGGCCTTTAATGTATCAATACAGCATTGAAAACAGCTAGAATATGTGCTGATTCTGTAAGCCAAGCAGTCACAGATCATATTCATATACAAGGCTGTGTTCCATATTATTTATCTACCTAGAGTAATAAATACACTTTGAAAATTATATGTCTGTACTACCTCAAACTGCATGTGATATGTTTGTTAAATACTCTCTTATAAACTCCCTGGACTCCCTGCATAACCTAGACAGTCTGGAACAAAGATTCTAAATAAGCTTTCTCTCTGACTTGGCTCATTCCAAGAGATTGTGATTTATCCGCATGTCCAATAAATGTGCAAATATTGAGGAATGACAGTCCTGTAGGAATTATAGTTTAGTGTTGAAGTCCAAGCTTCAGACTCCATGGCCACTTATACAGATTGGGTTCAGGAACAGAAGATTCTCTTTCCTTCCACAGAATTTCCTGACTCTTTGAAGCTGATTATGGGGGACCATGGAGGGTGGGAAAGCATAAGCAAAGATTACTTTCCTTCGATTTTTCAGCAAAAGCATTTGATGGATCGGGCCATTATTATAAGAGCTTGTGTCCAAGTAATATACTAACATAAACCAATGTATCTATCTATGTGGTCACTAAGGTTTGACACTGACTTGATGGCACATAATCAATCACACCAATGTAAAATGTGTATCTATTATTATGCCTGAATCTGGAGGACAATCATGAGAAATAAATTATTCCTGGGAATATTGAGGTTGACCAGGACATTTCTTGTCAGTCAGCAGACACATTCTTCAACTCTTTATTATGATATGGGGAATTCCTTCCCACTAAAGTAAGGAAAATATGATTCAGCTACTATATAGTCCCAGAGTGCAGATAGTGGAGGGATTTTTTATCACTCAGTGGCCTGGTGCTATATATGACTGCGATAAGAAGTTTGAATTTCTTATCAGGAAAGTTCTCGTAACGTACTCAACTTGGAGGCCTTTATTTAACCTGATATGCAATTCTCACTGATGTTTTAAAAATGCTTTTGAATATTACAAACTAAGAATTATGTGTGTTAATATCAGATTTTGTTTGCTTATAAAGTAATGCAATTATATGTTATTAATGGTTTGCCAATGTTTATAGTTTTATTCATTCTATTGCACTACTGTGCAGCATAGGAAAGTGGAATTATGTTTTATGGCATGTCCAGATAATAGTCTATCTACCAAAGATTGGAGATTTAAGAGTATACCTGAAATGCAGATACCACAATGCTAATTAAGTTATCAATTGTTGCTGATTATGATATAAATGCAAGGAGGTAGCAGAGGATGCTCCAAAAACAATAAATATTATGATGATGCCACAAAGAAGGCAACAGTATACATGATCTAGTTGATTTGGTGAACGTTGGAGAGACAGTCCCTTGAAGACTGAGGAAATATCTTGATAAATAGTTCTGAGAGTTCATATTAGTGTCATATATGAATTCGAGGTTGATGACAAAGTGATTAGTGGTTTGGGTATACAGCAAGTCAATAATCCACATACTAAATGTCAAGGTAAGTGGTGCTTATAGAGATTTAAGGGATGACTTGCTTAAAAACTAGATACTGCTTTACAAAACAGTTGTTCTTCCTGCAATGCTGCATTTCAGCTTTTTCCAAGTGATTCCATATCCCAAAATGATGCTGATTTGGATAGCATGTAGATACAGACAGATAATTAGGAACTCTTTTCAGCATTGATTTAAAGACATATTTGCTTTCAAATGACAAATACACTGGGATAAGAGGGAAAGAATCCAAGACATAAACAGAGTAAGAGGCATAAGATGTCTGCCTCTTTTAATCATAAACAAAATTGCACAATGATACTACTCGGCTCTGACTCATACTCAAAGACAAATACTTAAGAAGTGCTAACAGCTGGCTTCCCTGTATGCTCTCAATAAATCAAATATGGGGGAAGCCTTTACTGACATTTATTGTAAAGAATGTGTTACAGGGCAAAGTATTGCACTCTGTGGAGGCATGCAGGAAACTGGCCCCCTTCCAGAGGCCTCTGATGAATATACAAATCTTATTCAAGACAGATTAGGTGGCTTAATAAAATAAAAATATCATGTTCCCTACCTAACAACATGCATACAGGTACAGAAGAAAACTTCCCCATTAGCTTAAGCAAAAATGTGTGATTATTTCCTATTCCATCCTGTCTTTTAATTGCTTTTACAAATGACACAGAAAAGCATGAACAGCATATTCAAAAGCAGGATGTCAATTTTTACATTTATACATTGGAAGCTTTGCTTTTGCAAAACAGTATACAATGTTCTATTATATGGTGCATTTTTTTTCATTGACAAAACAGCAGGGCAATCATTTCCATAAACTTGCTTTCAGACTACACATTATTCCTCTTACAATGAAAAGCACCAAATACAAAAGCTACTGCCCAATTAATATTTCAGAAATACTTTTTAATTCTAATTTTAAGAATTAAGAATTTTAGCCAAAGAAAAAGAAGTTTTAAAAACTGTGATAATTACATATAGCCACCCCAAATAAGTGTAACTATCTGATATTCTTGTGACTAAATACTACCCATCACTAATAAATCTAGCTCAAAAGAATCTTGATATAATATAACAGTAATCACCATTAAGCACTGCTTAATTAGATTCCAAATTGTGGATTGATTCCCAACTGAATATCCTTACAAATTAACCTGAACAACAAGTTGGAGAAGATTGCTCAATTTCATCTCTTCCAAACACTGTATATTTTACCATTACACTCTTAATATATTCACTGACTCACTGTGTGCCAACAAGTCAGCATTGACTCTTAGCGACCACATTTTCTTCAGGATGATTTCTCCCCAACCTGGTCCTTCAGGTGATCTAACAGTGCACCCACTGTCACTGTAACTGAGATGACTGGTTGATTTCTTGTTGAAGTATTTGTTTTTTTGGCTATCCATAGTATTCTCAGGATTTGTCTCCAACACCAAAGTTCAAAAGCATCAATCCTCTTTCTATCCTGATTCTTCAAAGCCCAACTTTCACTTCCATAGAGTGTCACAGGGAAAACCACTGTCATAACTGATTCTGATTTTTGTAGATATAGACTCATCTAGCATCTGAATACCTTCTCCAAGGCTTTCATTGCTACTCTTTCAAGTGCCTAGCTTGCAGTGTATTTATTGACTGCTGGCTCCTTTACTGTTGATAAATAGCAGGAGCTATCCAACACTTCAATATCTTGTCATTTCTAAGGCTGGCTGCAGTACAGGTAGTCTTCGTTTAGCAAATGCCTTGTTTAGCAACTGTTTACAGTTATGATGGTGATGAATAAGTAACTTTGTGACCAGTCCTCACATTTACAACCTTTGCAGATCTATAAAACAAAGGAAAGCTGAAGTAAGATCATAAGCATAGTCAAAGTTTCACTTAGTGACCACTTCACTTAATGACCAAGTTAGCAACCAATTGTGGTGGCTAAATGAGGACTACCTGTATTTGCTGTCACATATTTGGTCTATATTTAATCTTAGTCTTATTTTTTCACTGTCTTCCTTGATTTACATTAGTAGAGCTCCTAGATCATTTGCATTTTCAGCTATCAGAGTGGGGTTATCAGCCTAGCACATATTATTATTATTTCTTCCTCCAATTTTAAAACCATATTCATCTTCTTCCAATGCAGCTTTCCTCAATATCTATTCCACTTACAAGTTAGTAATTAAAGGGAGAGTATATTGCCTTTGTATACTCACTTTGTCAACCTGAAACCAGTCTGTTTTCAATGTTCCATCCAGATTGTGGCTTTCTTATAGGTTTTATATGAGGCAGTGAAACATTATGGGATTCCCAT